ATTCCAATAAAATCCCAGTAAGATTTTTCATGCAATTTAATAAGTTAATCTTAACAATTACTATGGCAGAGTAAAGGGCCAAGAATAGGCAACAAAATTGAAGAAATTGCAAGATACCAAGACTTCTTATAAAACTACAGTAACTTAAAAAGAATGATAATGCTGCAGAGAAAGCCACATCAACTAACAGAATTAAAAAAGAGAGCCTAGCCCTGGCCGGTTTGGCTCAGTGGTAAAGCATTGGCCCACAGACCAATGAGTCTCCAGTTCGATTCCGGCCAAGGGCACATACCTTGGTTGTGGTTCAGTCCTCGGCCCTGGTCAGGTCATGCGTGAGGTAACCAGTCAATGTGTCCCTCTCACAGGAATGTTTTTCTCTCTCTCCTTCTCCCTCCCTCCCACTCTATCTGAAAATAAATAGAAAAATATCCTCGGGTGAGGATTAAAGAAATAAAAATAAAAAAGAGAGCCCAGAAACAGACCCAAAAATATAGAAAAACTTCGTATATTAGAGAGTTACATTACAAAGCAGTGGAGAAAAGATGGACTACTCAATAAACAATGTTAGAACAAGTGGCTAACAGTATGGTAGAAATTAGATCCCTACCTTATAAAATTTCTTAAAAATTCAGATGGATTCAAGACCTAAATATGATAGTCAAAACTCTATAAAGAACTTCCGGTCAAGATGGCAGCGTAGGTAAACGCAGTATCGCGTCCTCCCACAACCACATCCAAGTTACAACAAAACTACAGAACCACCACCATTCAAAACCGCCTGAAATCAAACTGAATGGAAGTCCTACAACTACGGAATTAAAGAAGCTGCATCGAGACTGGTAGGAGGGGTGGAGGCGGACGGGCTGGTCCCATACCCACGTGTGGCGGATAAAAATCAGGAGGACACCTCGGCTGGGAAGATCCTTCCTGAGGACTGAGGGGTCCCCGTCCAACACCAGGTGCCCCGCTCAGGGTTCCAGTGCCAGGAAGAGAAGTCCCCATAACTTCTGGCTGGAAAAACCAGCAGGAACTGAGGCTCAGGGAGGCTGACGCGGCTGGAGCCCCAGGCAGCTCCTTAAAGGGCCCGCGCACGGACTTATCGGACTCTCTCCCTCTAAGCTTGGAGGGGAGGCAGCTCGAGGGGAACCAGAGACATACAGGGAAGAGCTGTCTGGCACTGGAGCGAGGGCTGGAGAGGGGGCTTTCACAAACGTGATGTCAGAAGCCTTTGTTCCTTTGGTGAGCCCTTCCCTGGGGCAGCAGACAGCTGCCATATCTGGGACTCCAGCAACCTGGCTCACACTGGTAGCCCCGCCCTGCTGACTCCCTGAGGCCCCGCCCCACCCCACCCCACCCAACTTTCAGGCCCACCCAAGCTGTTGGCACTTGCTTAACCATAGGATTGGCCTAACTTGCATCCTGCTTCAGGTTTTCCTAAATTTTTTCAAACGAGCAGCATCTGGTCTCAGCTAGCCCCATACCGCTCGTTAAGTAATACACAGAAACAAACACAGGGAGGCAGCCAAAATGAGGAGACAAATAAACAGGTCCCAAATGAAAGAACAGAACAAAATCCCAATAAAGAACTAAGCGAAATGGAGATAAGCAACCTAACAGATGCTGAGTTCAAAATACTGCTTATAAAGATGCTCAATGAACTTAGGGAGGGCCTCAAGAGCATAAAAAAGGATCAGTCAGAAATGATCGATGCACAGTTAGAAACGAAGGAGGCTTTAACTGAAATAAAGAATAATTTACACAGCTTCAATAATAGAGTACGTAAATCCAAGGAGCAAACCATCGACTTGGAATATAGGGAAGCAACAAATGCCCAATCAGAACAGCAAAAAGAAAAAGGAATCCAAAAAAATGAGGATAGTGTAAGGAGCCTCTGGGACAACTTCAAATGTGCCAACATTCGCATCTTGGGGGTGCCAGAAGGAGAAGAGAGAGAACAAGAAATCGAAAACCTGTTTGAAACAATAATGGCAGAAAACTTTCCTAACTTGGTGAAGGAAACAGACATACAAGTCCAGGAAGCACAGAGAGTCCCAAACAAGATGAACCCCAAGAGGCCCATACCAAGACACATCATCATCAAAATGCAAAAGGTTCAAGACAAAGAGAAAATCTTAAAAGCAGCAAGAGAAAGGCAGCTAGTTACCTACAAGGGAGTTCCCATAAGGCTGTCAGCTGATTTCTCAAAAGAAACTTTGCAGGCCAGAAGGGAGTGGCAAGAAATATTCAGAGTGATGAAAAGCAAGAACCTACAACCAAGATGACTCTATCTTGCAAAGCTGTCATTTAGAATCGATGGCCATATGAAGACTTTCCCAGACAAGAAAAAGTTAAAGGAGTTCATCACCACCAAACCGTTATTATATGAAATGATGAAGGGTCTTCTTGAAGAAAAAGATAAAATGTATGAACAAACAAAATGGCAATGAATACATATCTATCAACAATGGAATCTACAAACAAAATGAACAGGTAGAACAGAAACATTCTCACAGATACAGAGAACATTTTGTTGGTTGCCAGATGGGAGGGGGTTTGGGGGAATGGGTGAAAAAGGTGAAGGGATTAAGAAGTACAAATTCATTGCTAGACTGACAAACCTCAAAGGGAAAGGGGCTGGGGGGGTGGGAAGAAATAAACCAAAGAACTTATATGCATAACCAATGGACACAGACAATAGTGTGGGAAAAGGCAGGAGGGAGGCGGGAGTGGGGAGGAGCGAGTCAATGGGGGAAAAAATGTGGAACATCTGTAATACATTCTACATTCAACAATAAAGATTTAAAAAAAAAAACAACCTCTATAAAGAAAGTAACAAAGGACCTTTATGTCACCCAAGTAGAGAATTTCTCAAAGACACTGGAAGAAAAAATTATAAAGGAAAAAAAACTGTTAATTCCAACTACCTTAAAAATTATGTGTATGTGTATATCTGTGTGTGTGTGTGTGTGTGTGTGTGTATTCATTATAAAGTTAAAAGACAAGCCAAAACTTGAGAGCAACTATTTAGTGTTTATAACCAAAGGATTAATGTCCAGAATATGTGTGCATGTGTGTATGTGATGTGCCTGTGTGCATGGCCCTTAGAAATCAATAGGAAAAGTTCAAACAACCCAAAAACCCAACAGAAAAGTGGGCAAAGGCTATAAATAGGCAATTCACAGAAGACAGTGTAAGGTCCAAAAAACACAGGAAAGGATGCTCCACCTCACTTGAAATAACACACACACACAACCTGCATGTCTTTTTCCATATGAAAACTATAAACCTACTTTTGCCAACCCATGTAAGTATGTATGTGTATGTATATGTACATGGAGAGAGAGGAATAATTCAACTGCTGGAAAAATGTGGTGAAACAAGGACTTTCAAACACCACTGGTGGGAATGTGAACTGATACCACTACTTTGGAGGGGTAGTAAAGCTCAAATGTAATAAAGCTGAACAGAAACAAATCCTATGACCTAGAAATTCTGCTTCCAGAAATCCACCCCGGACCACCTGCGGCATATAAGAACAGTCATTGAATACTGATTATAACAGCAAAAACAAACAAACAAAAAAGCAATAAAAACCCAACAACAATTTAAGTATCCCTCAGTTTCTCTTTTCTATGATAAAACAAGGGGGTTGGGGTTTGAAACGAAAATTTCACACAAGCCAAGTATCCAGCCTATTAGGTTGACTTATAAGACAACCTATATTATGAAAATGTATAATGACAAAATCTCCTCAAAATTTATCGAAAAGATAGATTTTGATTATTCCTTTGCTTACTTTTGAAGTCAGAATCATATGATACAGAGATTTTTCTAATACTACATAACTGGAATGGCAGGAATAAAATCATGAAGATCTTCAAAGGACTATTTATGTAAATTTGTTTTCCTTCCTAAGATAAAAATGTTACCAAGTTTCTTTAAAGGAAAAGTAACTGTATCTAAAAAGTCATAATACTTGAGTATATTATGATACCCAAGTTTCAATTCTTATTTTTATGTTGTTCAAAACCAAAACAAGTATATTTCACCACTGCATTTTGGCAACTATCCCTTTTTAGTGAATCATGACAATTGAGCATTAGGTCCTAGGTCAATTTTTATTTCTAACACAGTGAATGCTGTAATTTTAAACAATTTTATGCTAGTACTTCTCCCCCTCAGTTTATTCCAATAGCCTGGGAGATTTGGGGAGGGCAGGGGTACTTGTTAGGAAGTAGCTCAGAATTTGACAAAGGTAAGGTATTCAAAGCCATAAGTATAAATATCCCCAAATCAATCAAGGTCTTATCTATTTTTCTAATAGCTCAGAAACAGTACTTTTGAGTGCCAAAAGTGAATTCCAGAAGGTTTCTTAGGAAAAATGTTACAAATTTTTTAAATGTGAGAATGAAGCCACTTTAAAAATATGTATGATCCATATGTTTAGCAATGTCAGTTATTTCTCGATTTATATAACTTTGTATCAATTTGATTTCTCTATTTCAGCAGATGGATCTGACTGGAAACAGAATTGAGCTGAAAGGCATAACAAGTATATATATCTCTTAAGTTCAACGGTATATTTTTAGCAGATTTTATTTTGTAAAGGATGAAAAATACCAATGAAGTTTATGACACTGGGGAGTGACACCATGAGTACTTCAGTAGCATAACTCTGTCTGTAATGCAAAGAATGAATAAGATAAAAGCACATAGAAATGGGAGAGTATTATAATAGAAGTTAGAGATTAGAAAGTTGTTATAATAGCACAGATCAAGAGAAAGCTTTAGAAAGTTCAGATTTCTGATTCCTACTCCTAGAGATTCTGAGCCACTAGATTTGGAGCAAGTTTTCATAATCCTTAGTGAAGAGCTAAATACGGATGACTGGCAGTGAGTGAGAGCATCAAAGGGAAGATACCCTTGATGCTGACACCTTTAAAAGAGTTATCAGGAACTCATAAAAATTATGAGCTGATGCTGCATTTTAACAGACTCACCTGGATCAGGGTCATAATTTAAGTCCAATGGGTGTACAACAGGGTGGTACTGCTTCTAAACATAATATAAATTTAAAAAGTTTTAATTTCACTACTTAATGCCTCATATAAACATTTTCTTCAACTAATGTTAAGAAAATAATTAGTAGTAGTACCATTCTTTTGTAAAAAACAAAATACAAAAATTAACCCCTGCAATCTGTAGGGAAAGGAGAGGAAAAGAAGCCTGAATTATACCTTTTATAGTATTGCCACCTTCTGCACACATGAAGAAACTGCACCATATCATTCCGGCCAGTTTGGCTCAGGAGTTGGAGGGTTGGCCCTTGGACTGAAGGGTCTCGGTTTGAGTCCCAGTCAAGGGCATGTACCTGGGTTTCGGGTTCAATCCCTGGCCCTGGTTGGAGTCATGCAGGAGGCAGCCAGTTGATGTTTCTTTTTCACATCGATGTTTCTCTCTCTCTCTCTCTCTCTCCCTCCCTTCCACTCTATCTAAAATCAATGGAAGAATTTCCTCAGGTGAGAATTAACATTAAAAAAAAAAAGAAAGAAAGAAATTGCACAAAAAAATTTTAAGAAAAAAAGCAATTAAGCAAATTAAAGGCACAGAGACTAAATTTTGTGTTTCAAGTACTACTAGGTATTCTCCAAATTATGAATGAACTGTTTTTTAAAAATTCATTTTAAGACAAGTGTTTGGAACTCAGAACTCATATTCCCACAGAAACTCTGTTTTTACAGTGGCTGCCACTGCCATGTGAGCACATTAAGCCTATCTATATATTCTGTGATATACTAGGGTGACAGTAGCAGAGCTATAGGAACAGGATCCATAATTCAGGCAAAAAGAAAGAGGAACATGTTCCTCCTTACTCTTGCCGAAAGCTAGCAAAAGCCAAAAAGGATTTTAAAAAGCTGTCTTGGGGGAGACTGGCTGGGGGTGGGGCGTGAGGGTAGAGGTGGGGGGTTGGAGGGACTGAGCAAAAATGAAAAAAAGAGAGAGAAAAGCTGTCTTTAGTCTCTTCACCCCATCTATTTTGCATCACTTTTTAAACTTCCACAGTAGTATCTCACCTAGGCCTGCCAAGTTTCTTTCTTTATGCAATACTGACTAGTAGGTTTTCTTCAGGGAGGGAGAGGTAGTTAATAGGAAGAGAGACACTAAAATATAAACACATTTTGAATGTCTTTCCTAAGAAAACTTTAAAAGGGGGGTGGGGAAATTATGCGGGGTATTTTTTTTAAGACTAAGTGTTACAGAAGAAAAAAGGAAAAATTCTGCTGACAAATAGTTTTTTCTCATAGAATGACTAACATATTTTAGCTAAAATACCTGCCTTTACTGTCTAAAACAATTCCTGAAAGAAAAGCAATCAAAAGATTTATATGTAAAGAATGCTCATTTCAAAAACTGAGGACAAAGAGCCTATCACGATAAAACAACATGTATTTCTAGCTGCAAAGGTAGAGCCACTCCCAGCAAACCTACTTTAGACCCATCATGATTCGGAGAACTAAGCAAATTCTACACTGGCTGCTCTCGCTCAGTGGTTAGAGCATCAGCCCACAGACCAAGAAGTCGCAGGTTCAATTCCAACCAAGGGCATGTACCTCAGTTGCGATTTGTCCCTGGCCCTGGACAGGGTCATGTGGGAGGCAATCAGTCAATGTATCTCTCTCACATCGATCTTTCTCTCTCTTTCTCTCTCTTCCTCCCTGTCTAAAGATAAATGGAAAAGATATCCTCAGGTGAGGATTAAAAAAAAAAATTTCACACAATTCATAAAGTAAATTTCAGTATTATGAACAGGTACTCAATCTTTGTCATCAATTTAACTAAAGCATCTTCCTAAATATATAATCATATACAAATAATGTGCCAAACACAAATGACAAATAGAAACACAAGCCTTAGAAGATAAATTTCTTCTTTCTTTTTCCTTCCTGGTCTCAGAATTATAAAGTCATTGTCAGTCTTCCACCACCAAATTCTATGTTAGTATCAGCTGTGCTCAAATTTTAGTGTGATTTAGAATAGAAAAAAGTCTTCAAGAGACAAACAGTAGGAACTGAGGCAGGAAAGATAAAAAAAAAATGTCATTTATCTCTACATGGATCTTATACTTTAACTTTTTTATTGTAGTAAAACAGACATAATATAAAATTTCTATTTTAAAGATAAATCATCTTACCAGAATTTCCTGCTTTGTTTTTATGATTTTTATGACACATTCAAGGATCTTTCTGGGATACTGCTTACGTTTTGTGGCTAAATCTACAATGATTTCATCAAACCGATCTTCAAGTTCTTTGATATCAGAATCTATTTCAAGAGAAAAAAAATATCAAAAAAATTCCTTAAAACACATTGTTAATATTCTACATGGAAATGTAATGTAAACAAACTCAATTTAGAAAACAAAATAATTGAGGAAAACAAATATGGCAAGTTAACAGATGCCCTCACTTTAGTAACTGATTCATTTACACATCGAACCACTGTTTAATCAGAAAAATAATTTCAAAGATGAACATAATAAGACGCCTGCTTTCTAAGAGCTCACAGTTCACTGGAAGAAGCAGACAGATAACTGCAAAGCAACTAGATAAATGCAACAGAGGTCTAAAAAAAATGCTACGAAGACACAGAACAATGGAACACTAACTCTGCCTGTGGAATTTAAGACTTTAAAGAGAAAAGTAACATTTGAGCTGGGCCTAGGAATATAAGTAAGTGTAAATCCAATGGATAAAAACAGGTAAGAAAAAATAATAGGGAGAAGCATTTCAGGCAGAGGAAACAGTATTTGCAAGTCTTTGGGAAACAAAAAAATTTCTAAATGGCTGGGTGATAAAGTATAAGGAAAAAAGGATGATAAAAGATCTATGCTATAAAGGGCATTTAATGTCAGGGATGCTAACAAGTTTTGACTTTTTTATGTGCTGAACCAAGCTGTGACAGTAGCAGTCAGTGTTCGCTAGATATAGAACAGGCACAACTGGGTAAATGATAGGAAAAAGTAAAAGGTACAGTGCCTTTATTTTATTTAGCTAAAGCCATTTTATAGGTTAATTCCCTGTTTTTAAATAGTGATTTTCAAACTTTAGCAAAATGAATCTGGGGAACTTGTGAAGAGTAGACATTTTGATTCAGTAGGTCTCTGGAATGGGTCCAGATGACCTAGATGAAATGAATGCAGGTAATCTATCAACCTTATTTTGAAAAATCATTTTAAAGAGTAACAAATATTAAGTAGTTAAAATACTAAAGAGGCCCTGGCCAGGTAGCTCAGTTGGTTAGAGCATCATCCTGAAATGCCAAGGTTGCGGGTTCGATCTCTGGTCAGGGCACATATAAGAAGCAATCAATGAATGTATAATGGGTGGAGCAACAAATCAATGTTTCTCTCTCTCCAAAATCAATAGATTAAAAAAATTTTCTTAAACATACTAAAGAGCTAAGTCATCAGCTTAACTGGTCGTATAGCACGTGTTCTGCTGTGTCAAAGTCTATGCTAGAAATGGATCTATTTATTTTGAGCAGAAGCTTCATTAGGGAGAAGTACAATGTGTATGTTTTGAAAACATTTTGAGATATTGCTGATATTTATAAGCATATACTTACACATTGGGTAAAGATAACTGAGGTGCACCAGGTATGACCTTTCATTCATGTAACAAATATTAAACTCAACTAAATTACTTCTTTTGAAGAGTATTACGAGAGACATGGTCATTTCTTACTTTGAAGTCATTTAAAATATTTTTTTCTTGATTGATTTTAGAGAGAGAGGAAGGGAGAGAGAGATAGAAACATCAATAAGAGAGAACATCAATTGGCTGCCTCTTGCATTCCCCCCACTGGGGATCGGGCCCACAACCTGGGCATGGGTCCTGACTGGGAATCAAACCAGTGATCTCTTGGTACATGTGTCGATGCTCAACCAGTGAGCCACCCCAGCCGGACTTCAAAAGTCCTTTAAATGAATAGCCCTCCCTAAGTTTTAATTTATTCATTTGAAAAATTCAATCACTAACCTGAAAGGAATAATGCACTATTTCACAATCAGTTAAAAAATTTAAAAAAAGTCAAGTCTCCCAGCTAAATCTTCTCGTATGGAGGAAAATGGTTTCTTGGCGCCACCTAATGATAAAGCTATAAAAGTGAAATGTAGAAAACAATTTGAGCAGGGAAGGTAGTCATTAATTTAACAAACATTTAGTGGGCACCTACTGCGTGTCAAACTAAGTGTTAAAAACATAGTAATGAGAAAAACAAATATAGTCCCTGCTCTCAAGGAACTTACATTTTAATTCTTAAATTTGCCTGGTCAGTTCTCCTGAAATCAAGTCCATTCAGGGTAGTTAAGAGGCAGAGAGGAAGTTGGTTTCACTTATATGTATATTCATTCATTCGTTTGTTCACTTATTTATATAATGATCTCGGTAAACAAAATAGACAAAACCTCTGCCCTTGTGAGACTTACTTATTGCTTCTATGTATCAGGATCAGATACAAATCCTATTAATTCTATCTGCTGAACATCTTTTGTACCTTTTTCTTTCTCTCCTTTCCTACTGTCCTAGGGCAGGTCTTCATCATCTTTTCCTGAACTACTTCAATAACCTCCCTAAGGTCTGCCTGCTTTGAATTTTTCCCTTCTCCAGTCCATCCCCACACAGAACCAGCAGTTAGCTTTCCAAAACACAAACCTTTTCATGTAAGTACTACTTTAAAAACCTTCACCAGTTCCCTATTACCTACAAGGTAAAGTACAAATTCTTTAGCATATCCTACAGGGCTCTCTGTGATTTGGCCCCAATTTATCTTTCTGGCCATATCTGCCATTAGTTTTTCCAATTCACTGCTGACAAAGCACTCCTTGTGCCTTTGCACATACTGTTTTCTTTACTTTAAATGTCCTTCCTACTTCCTTTCTGTCTAGCACACTCTTATTTATTACATGCATTTAAATTAACAACCTACTTTGTTATGTCTACTTCCACTTCCCAAAGCGTCTAGTGATTCCATTTCCTTCCGTTAACGATGAGTTCCTAAATGGCAAGGACCATGTCTTTGCATCTATTTCCCAGCATTTGACATAGTGTCTGGCATTTATCAAGTGCCCATGAACAAAAGTAAAAGTGTTATAACTATTTTCCCTCACAGTAATAAGGAGGGAAAGGGGACAAAGAATATACATACTCTACCCAAGCTACCAACCCATCAGGAAATATATTTGTTAATCTATAAATTGATGAATCATATTGCTAAAGGCAGTCTGTGCCAAACAATAAAGCAATTCCAAAGTGACTTCAGAGAAAAAGAGTCAGATAAAGACACAGTAAAGGCTGTGTAGTTTGAAAATATTTGTAGGTGGTTCTGGTACACTCCCTCTCCCCTACAATCACTCTAATAATTTTGAGAAATCCAATGTTATTGTTTTTAATGTTTTAATATGTAAACCAGAAGGTACAATATGATAACTCTGAAGAGATAACTACTACAATCCTAAGGATTAGACAGTAAAGTCTTCTGGGCAAAGTATTATCTCAAGGTTGAGAAGAAAAATTATAAGCACAGAGGGTCACTTGATGGAGTCGGAATCAGCTCAAGGGTATAACTGAATAATCAGAACAGCTAACAATGGTATCAAGCTATGTTGGCCAGATCTCTATAGCATCACAATGGGGACAAACAAGGCACTCTGATTATGGACCTCTTGTCAGGGTAGACTTTCTCCCGGACATTGCTGAAGAATTCTGCTTCTCTTCCTACAATGATCACTATTTTTCTACTGAATTTTTCCTTCCTATACTGAACATTTTCTTTCTACTAAAACTTTAATTTCTTTAGATATGCCAATAACATTAGTTAGGGTACAATCAAGTCTGCTTTGGACCAGGAAAAATTCTGTCTTTTTGAGGAGGTTTCTCCAAATACTAACCTCATCCTTGACATAGTACTCTTATAGTTTAACTTCACCCTCCTAAGGGTACTTTACTATCTACTTTAAGGATCACTTATAAAAATACAACTTGATTCATAAGATATTAATCATAGAAATTCTCTGGGCCTGTTTCTTCATCTGAGGATAGTTCCACAACATTTCCTAATAAACTATTGACAAGAGTATTTTTGAAGATTAATCAGATGAAAGTCTCATTGAGAATGCCAGACAGAAAATATAAAGGGTCACAGTACCTACTGTGTTGTTTACCTCAGATTACAACTTCAATAGTCTTCTAGACTAGTTTCCTCTCCCCCTGCCTAGTAAAAAGCTTTTTAAAGAGAAGTTACACTAAAAATGGGGATTAAAAATTAGCATTCAAAATAAAATCAGCTACAAAAATAACTCAGAAATTAAAGACAGAAGGAAAAAGTTAAATCACTTACCCCTAAAACAATCATCTGAAGCTTCCTGCCATGCCTGCCCATTAATGCTGACATTCTCTTGCACAGCTGATTCAAAAGTCTGCAATAAAATCAAAATAGTCAAGTCACTAAAAATAACTTTAAATATTGAATTTAAACATTTTGGCAAAATAATTTCAGATCTGTGATAGAGAATATTTAAAAAGTAGCAGACTAGCCTATTAGTATACTTATTTTCAATGAAGATTCTATTTCAATTGATTCTATGTACATTTTAGTTCTGACAGCCATTATACTACCTATGAGAAAATTTGACCCCAAATTTTAGAATATTCTTATAAACAAAAACATGTACTTCTTAAATGAAATAAAAAAGCTAACAAATTTGGGCTCAGTTGAATCTCAAGAGTATAAGTACTACATATGCTGTGAATGAGTGTCATTGCTAACGAGGAAAAATACACGTGCTTAAAAGAAAGTGAAATTAATGTCTACTTTATAAAGGACTATTTTTTAGAAATGTATACTGAAGTATATAAAATGAAATGACATGACATCTGGGATTTGCATTAAAGTAGGAAGTGTGCCTAAGGACACAGGCAACAATGTAGTGAAGGTAGGAGTAGGAGAGAGGCTTGATGGAGGAGGGCAAAGGGGGGAATGGGGGACATCTGTAATAGTGTCAACAATAAATAAATAAAGTCAATAAAAACATTAAAAAATATTAAATATAACAAATTTTTGATAACTTAAATTTGGTGATGGATATATGGGTGTTCACTGTACTAGTCCATTTTTTGTAAAGGACTAAAGGAGTTTGGTAGTACCACTACAATTTTAAATGCATATTCCCTATTACCTAACCATTTCACTTTTAGCAATGTATCCTAAAGGGCTATTTTCATAAAAACATAAAGGGATGTACTAGGAACGTTCATTTTAGCACTGTTTGAAATTAAGAAATACTGAGGGGGAAATACCAAAATCTAAATTCAAAATAAAGAGAGAATAATTATACCCATACCATGCAATAATTAAAAAGAATAAAGATCTCTACATAACATTAGACAAACAATAGTCAGACATATTTGGTTAAAAAAACAGAGAGGGGGGAAGGTTGCTAACAATACATCAGCATGACACTATTAATGTTTAAAAAAAAAACAGAGAGAGATGTAAAGCCATAAGAAGGGTGTAGAAGCATTATACCCTCTAAGTACCTTCCAAAATAGTAAGTTATTTCCAAGAAAGTAGAGAAATGAAGGAGAGAAATTCAAAGACTTTGCTTTATGCCACTTTTTATAATGAGGATGTTTTTGGTACATTTTGTATAATTAAAAATAAGCATAAATCAAATAGTGCTTAATTATGAAGTAAAGTGCATATTTTATCCTTTAAAGTTTTTATAAAGTAAAATATTTAATTTATATGTGGACTTTCAAGGATTATCTGAGAATACAAATTGTCTTTGTAGTACTGGCACAATTGTGCTAACACTATTTTTTTTGTTTTTTTAAAGAATATTTACTATATTATGTGGTTTTAGATAGAGATACGTCAACATAATTAAAGCCTCTGCCTTTTACTTGCTCTCTTATTTAAAATAAAACACAAGTCAATTTCCTTGGTAGTTTACCTTAGCAGTTCCTAGAAAGAGACAAACGCTAAGATCATTACAGAACAGTCTTCTCCACACAAAAACACTAAGAATGTCTCTATTCTTCCCTTGCTTGCAAGGGGAGAATAGGAGCCACTGTGTGTACAAAATTGGAATACAGAAGCACAACTCAGGGAGTGTTTCTTCATTCTTCTTCCACTTAACCTTTAATTTTGTTTGCACACTCACAGGTGTGCTGCATTTTAAGATTTTAAACTTTTTTTCCCTACATATAAATTGTTGCTTTCTTATGACAGGACCAATCCCTCAACTTGTTGTATCCTCCCCCACCCCCAAATATCTTCTCTGGGAAATATTTGGGAAAGGGACGGGAAATATGTTATAAGGGCCAGTGTATGACTTTGGAGAAGTTTACAATCAAGACAGCTTCCTCATCTACTTTCAACTTGTGGAGGAAGCGTTTTCACTCTCTTTACAAGATATTCGAAAACAGACAAAAGGAAAGACCAAAAGACCCTCCTAGAGTCTGTGTCCGCACTCCAATAGGGGAGCCACTAGCCACTGTGACCACTGAGGCCTTAAAATGTGGCTGGTCCACAAGGAGATAAGCTGTGTACGTTTCAGACACCAGATTTGAAAAGCTTAGGACGAAAAGAATGTAAGCTATTTCGTTCATGGTTTTTTATTACAAACTAAAACGATATCTTGGACATAGTGGGTTAAGTAAAACCCATTATTAAGATTAATTTCACCTTCTTTTCCTTACTTTTAATTTCAAGCTACAGACAGCTCGCCTTGTACTTTTCTACTGGACAGCGCGGGTCTAAGGAGTTAATACCCGGCGGACACTGCATCTATTTCGCCCGGCGTTTCTCCGGCTGCTTTTACCCGCGCGTGAGGCACCGCTAACTCGGCCGCAGCCTGGGGCGGACTCTCGAGCCCTGAGACGCGGGATAAGAGGTGACAAGACAAGTGACAGCTACTGGGCCCGTACCCACTGCGCGTCTCGCAGCGCAGGCTCCCGGATCTCCTCCGGCAGCGCGTCCCCCAGCTGTCGCACGAAGCGGCCGCACAGTTCCACCAGTTCCATCACCGTCTGCTTCGAGGTGCAGCGCACCCGGAAGTCCTCACGAGCTGTGGCGGGGACCGAGGTCCGGTCTTCTGTCCCGGCCACTCTCTCCATGTCCCGCGAAGGCGAAGCGCCCAGCAACTCAGGAGCCCCCGCCATTTTTCCAGTTTGAACTGTGGGCGGGAACTCTGGGAGCGGAAGCGAGTCCCTGGAGGAAGGTGCCCGCGTGTGGCCGGAAACTCCGTCCGCGGCCGCAGCAAGGTTCCGGCTGAGGGTACGCCGGCCGCGGCGATGGGGTCGGAGGGCGTAGGGCTGGTGGACTGCCACTGTCACCTCTCCGCGCCGGACTTCGACCGCGTATGTGTCGGCAAGGCCGGGCGGGTGGAAGCGGGGGCACCCCGTCCTTTTTCTTCAGGTTCCCTTTGCTTTCCTCTCTTAGCACGGAGCCCCAGATCCACCCAGGCCGGTGTGACTTGCTCCTGACTCCCTATTTAACTGCAGTCGTACTGATTTTCCTTTCTGATCCAGAACAGCCTAAGTCCTCTGACTCCACGTCTATTTGCTGTTGCCGGTTACTGGAGTTCTTCCTCTACCCCGGCTGACTCTGCTTTCCCCGAAACCGGGGCACGCTCCGAAGCAAACAAAGAACAGTACACACAAGATCAGAGTTCCAAAGTGTTTTACCCGCTCCATTCGAAACTGGAGGCTCATAGTAGAGAAGGAAGAGCGGAGTCGGGGGGCGGGGGGGCCAACAAGAAGGCGGGTGTGCGGAGGAGAAGAAAGCTGGCGGGTTCAATTGCTACCACAATGTTGGATGGAGCCTGATGAGCTAGAAAGAGAGAGGCATGGAACAAGACTTAAGAGGTTTGCAGGTGAGGTAGGTCAGTAAGGAGTTTGGATTTCATTAGAACAGTAGTGTGAATCTAATAAAGGGTTGGGGCGGGGGGTTAAAGAGTGACAAGATCTTATATCCATTTAAAAACTATTTTGCCGATGTGTGGCCAATGGATAGAGGAGAGCGAGGGGTGGAGGCTAGAAGACCAATTTGGAAGCTTTTGCAGTATACTGATAAGAGATGATTGTGGTTGCAGAGGAGTTTGAGAGAATTAGATGGATTCAAGGTATATTTTAGAGATAAGATCCATATTTTATGCTGGGGGGTTCCCTGAAGAGGACTTGATGCTGAAGGGAGGATGGTGGTGCTATGTACTGAGATAAGGGAAGACAGGTTGGGGAGAAAATAGAGTTATATTTGGAACATGCTGAAGCTGAATATCCAAGTGAAGATGTCATATAGTCATTCTTCAATGTGAATCTTGGGTTTTGGAAAGAATAATAGGCTGGGGATGACAATTGAGGACTTTAGCATAATAATGATATTTAAACCCATGGATAAGATCACTTAAGATGACTACCGAGAGAGGAGCTTAGGGGTCCTGAAATCAGGTAGGGGAGAGCCAGTCAAGGAGACTGAAAGGTAGCAGCCAGTAAGAGAGTGGTTTTTGCAGGAGAGTGGTGTTGCAGAGGCCATGAGTGGAAAATATTTCAGGAAGAAAGGAGTAGACAAGTGAGAAGCTCTTAAATGCTGCTGAAGGGTAGAGTAAGAGGAAGACAGAGAAATGCCCTTTACATTTGACAATAACAGTTTCTGTTTTACTGGAGTGGAAACAGATGCCAGATTTTACTAAGAGAATGAAAGAAGAAACAGAAGGTAGGTCAGTCAGTGTAGGATCTTCACTTTCCACCACACTGTTCCTTGCCATCATTGTCATTTATGGTGCCTGATATTCATAGCCAAAGTTACTTGTATCCATCTAAAATAATTGTGATACCTTATGTTTATTTTAGGATCTGGATGATGTGTTGGAGAAAGCCAAGAAAGTAAGTCAGTATCTATAATTAATTGCCTGTTTTTTGTTTTCCTACTAATTTCAAGCTAGAACAGCATGATATTTAGATATGCTGTGTTGATGCTTCAGTAATAAGTTGCAATTATTAAGTGTTTACTATGTGACAGATACTGACCTAAGCCCTTTCTGTACATTATTTCATTTAATGTTTCACAACAACCTTCTGAGGAAGCTACTGTTTTTTTGCCAACCATTGCCCATTTTATAGATGAGGAAACTAAGGCCTAGAGATTAACTTGTCCAGAGACACCCTGCTAGTAAAATGATGCAGACAAGATAGCCTGAACTGAAAACATATTCCCCCAGTCATCATACTTACCAGCAATGTGGAACAGATCAGTACATCTGTCGATTCTAAAGTTAATGTTACTATGGAGATCTTGGAGAAATTATTACAATTTTCTGAAACATTTTCATTTGTTTGGACAAAGTTATTAATTTTTGGAAGTTTTTATGAAATTCATTATAACTGGCATTTCATGGTCTTCTCCAAAAGTATTAGAAGTAGCTGCCAGTACATTTTAATATACGAGCATTTTTCACTATGACAGACTAATTAGGAGTGTGGGCTTTGGAATTACGCAGGTCTAATGATGTTGGGCAAATTATTTGACTCCATCCAAAATTCTGTCTCTTGATCTATACAGTGGATTATAGCAACGCCTACCTCATAAGGTTGTGTAGATTAATTGTAGTAATGTTTATGTTCACAGAACATAGTACCAAAAACATAGTAAGCACTCAGTGAAAGCCATTATGATTATACTGATGGAGTATGAATGAGCAAGAATAACTACAAGCACAGAAAACTTTACATTTGATTGATTATATTAGATGTATATTGCTTGAGATTCTAACTATATTCTTTTTTGTTGCAGGCCAATGTTATGGCTCTTGTGGTGGTTGCTGAACATTCAGGAGAATTTGAAAAGATTATACAGCTTTCAGAAAGGTGCTGCTTCTCATTAAGAACTTAAAAAGTTGCTAATAAGGATGCAGTTATGATGTCATGTTCATAATATCAAAGATTGTCCATTTTTTAAAGAGAATGAGAAGAAAATATTAATATAGCCCTAAAAATGTCTTTCCTACTTATCTTTAGAGTAACATGTCTACCAGTCTAATATTCTGCTTTCTTAATTTATTCTACACTTTTAGATATAATGGGTTTGTCCTGCCATGCTTGGGTGTTCATCCAGTTCAAGGACTTTCACCAGAAGACCAAAGAAGTGTCACATTAAAGGTAATAATCAGATAAAACACAAACCATAAAACATGATAATACCTTTGACTTAGTAATCCTCTTCTTTCTGTTTTTTAGTCTAAAGCAATAATCTAAAAGAAGGAAATACTACCTTCTTTCCCAGAGATGTTTTTTGCAGAAATATTTGTAATAGAGAAAAAGGGGAAACAGCCTAGGGTTCAGAAATAAAGGAATAATTAGCTGGCTTGTAGAGTGTTAAATGTAATGCATTTATTAAAAATGAGGATGATAAGGTTTATGTAGAAACATGGAAACTGTTTGCCATATAATTTAGGGAGAAAAGCAGGATACAAACAGTTTATTCACTATGAGTGACATCATGTAAAAATATATACTATAAGGAAAAGACTACAGAGAAACAGACATGATAGTAGCTGTGATGATTTTGTAGAATTACAAGTGATTTCTTTTTACATTTTTGTTATCATACTGTTATATGGATTTTGCAAAAAGTGATAAAAAGTAGCCAGAGAAAGGAAGATACAAATCATAGATGCAGTAGTGTAAGGGAACAGATGAGTTCCAGTGCACAGTATCTTCTTTGAACATTATCCCTATAGGAGTGTTCTTTATCTATTAAACTGCATGGCTTTCTTTTTTTTTTTAATCCCACACAAGGACACTTTTCCATTGATTTTCAGATAAATGGGAGGGAAGGAGAGAGAGAAACATTGATGTGAGAGAGACACACCGACTGGCTGCCTCCCACACCACCCCAACCAGAGCTGGGGATTGAACCACAACTGAGGTACGTGCCCTTGTCTGGAATTGAACCCGTGACCCTTTGGTCCTTGGGCTGACGCTCTTAACCACTGAGCCAAACAGATCAGGGCTTCCTCTTTTTTTTTTTTTAATTTTTTTAAAGTTGATTTTTAGAGAGAGGAAGGGAGAAGGAGGTAGAGAGAGAGAAACATCCTGCTGCCAACCTGCTGCCTCCTGCATGTCCACTGTCAGGAATCGAACCGGTAACCTTTCAGTGCACAGGACAACACCCAACCAACTGAGCCACACCAGCCAGGGCTAAACTTCATGGCTTTCGTACTCTCTCTAAAAAGATCTCGCTGACTCACTGTAGTCAATATGTCTTATATTTCGGATTTGTCTCCTGTCTTCAGCATCAGGGAGATGCCATTTCTTGAGTGCTTTATTACATAATGGGATCGATAGCCCCATTTTGAAGAAGTAAAGACTTTGTGTTACCTATGAATAAATTAAGATATGAGATTTAGCCCTTCCTGGTTTGGTTCAGCGGTTAGAGCGTTCGCCTGCGGTCCTGAGAGACCCGGGTTCGGTTCCCGCTAAGAGCGCGAACCTCGGTTGCAGTTTGTTCCCGGCCCTGGTCGGTTGTGTAGGTGGCAGCCACTCGATGTGTTCCTTTCACGTCGATGTTTCTCTCTCTCTCTCTGTTCCTCTCTCTTCCTCCCACTCTACCTGAACAAAAAATGGGAAAATGTCCTCGGGTGAGGATAAAAAAAAAAAAAAAAAAAGATATGAGATTTATCTTTTTCCTTTTTTTTGTTAATCCTCACCTGAGGATATTTTTCCATTGATTTTTTTTTTTTTTTAGATAGAGTGGAAGGGAGGGAGGGAGAAAAAGAGAGAAACATCAATGTGAGAGAGTCACACCCATTGGTTGCCTCCCACATGACCTCAACCAGAACCCGGGATCAAATCTGCAACCCAGGTATGTGCCCTTGACTGGAATTGAACCCGTGACCCTTCAGTTTCCAGGCTGACCCTCTAACTGCTGAGCCAAACTAGCCAGGGCAGATTTATCATTTTTTATAATAATGAGTCTGTATTCCTACATTTGAATGCCCCAGGTAGCTCTACTTATTTTGAAACAAAATTACTTTTAATCACTTCAGGTAAAAATAAATACTTATTCTGTAGCTCTCCTGAGCTGTTGACATGATAAAATTTCCCCAGAGAGTTACAATTCCCAAAATGTTGGGGATCATAGCAAGATGGCATTTGTTTCATTTATGTAGAGATTTATAGTAAAAGGCATTCATTAGGTTCATCAGTCAGGTGTTTACTGAGTGCCTGCTGCATTCCAAGCACTAAAGAGTAATATCCCTCTCATGAAACTAGATTCTGGATGGCAGCAAACAATCAACAGCTAGATACATGAACAGGAAAACTAGATAGCACTAAGTGCTTTAAAGACAATAAAACAAGAGTGTGTGATGGGGATTGTGGATGCTGGTTTTTCGACTGTGTAGTCAGGGAAGCCCGCTCTGAGGCAGTGACATTTGAGTTGCTACCTGAATGCTAGAAAGGAATTAACCGAGCAAAGAGAGGCATCAGAGTGTTGTAGGCAGAAGAAACAACCAAGCACAAGGTCCCACGATAGCAGCAAGCTTGCCGTGGTCAAGAAATAGAAAGAGGGCTGATGTGACTAGTCGGACGGGAAGTACTAGTGATGAGATCAGAGGGATTGGGCAGGCATCGCCTCATACAGGGCCTTGTTGGATTTTAGTTTACACCAATGGGGGATTTAAAGTGAGGGCTGACAAGGTGTAATTTATGATTTGAAAAGAACCCCTTCACTATGGTGTGAAGAATGAAATTTGAAGAGGGCAAAAAACAGAGAAGGGCGTATAGTTAGAAGGCTATTGCAGAAGTCCATGTAAGAAATAATAGAACCGTTAGCTGTTAAGGAACACCTCCTCAGGACAGCGTTAATTCCTCTTCATTGATTTACGAGAATGTATTTCTAAGACGTTCATTTACTCTCCCTCATCTTTTCTCTCTCTTGAGGCATAATTGTAAAATCTACTCCTGTTCCTCTACCATCTGTTTTACCTCCTCTTTTTAAATTCTCCCTTGTTCTGATTATCCTCAGTAGAAGTACCTTGCAGTTTACATATCCTGAGACTAAAGTCCTCAAAGTACTTTAAAAGAAGCAAAGTTTCCATATATTTGCCTTTCCCTTACCTTACAAGGGAAACCTCATAGGGCAAATTCTCTAAGCAAGATAGTAATATCATGGAAACTAATGGTACACAGTTACTTTAATAGTTGACAAACAAGCATATATATGATATTTAGTGTTTATATTGTGGAACCCTTAGGACAAAAATAGGCTAAACAGGATTATAAAAACAAAAGAAATCGGTGAAAAGAGTACTAAGCATGTATGGGATTATCACTGTTACAAACTCACAAACCATTAGTACTCTAAGAGGAGAACATAACATAATGCACTCTCCAAAACTCATTTACAAAGGTGCCCCACCTGGTAGCTTTCTTCTCTTTTGCTTAACTGTTCCAGGAAATCACATCAGTCTTCCTAAGTGCCAGGAAGTGCCTCCTAAACAGAAGGAAGTGTTTAATGTCAATCTTTATAAGTAGTTGTGTTCTTGTGACCAGATTGGGTGTGGATGTTACTACTAAGATTTTCAGATAGAAGTGCTCACCGTTCTAGAAGGATTACTATTCCTAGTTCCTCAACTGTTCAAAGGAATAGAATGTATGTAAAGGACACAGTACAGCATAGTGCCTGGCATTTAATAGGTGTTTATAAAATATCAATTTCCTTCTTCTATTTTAACAAATATTCTTTTTTTTTCTCCCAGGATTTGGATGCAGCTTTGCCCATTATCGAGAATTATAAGGATCGATTGTTGGCAGTTGGAGAGGTAAACACCCACTAGCTGATCAGATGACTTCTAATTCAGTCTTTCATGTGATATATGAAAAAGAATCCTTAATATTGGTGATAACTGACTTGGATAATATGTTCACCCCATTCAACCAAATAATTTGTCAATACTTCCTCAATAAGCAAAAGAGCTTGGGTGTGAAACAATAGAACGCCTCATCATAGCCTTATGGTAACGCTTTATTAGCATTTCTATATACTATGCTCTTTTTTTATTCTTCTTAAATACGGATCATCTCTGCAGTTAGTGAAAGTAGTATTTACAAACACACTTTAAATAGGCTAGAGTATAATTAAAGAACATTGTTATGATATTCACAATTAAGTAAAACATTTTTCACTTGATAGTAAATTCCACGTCTAATTAAAGATAAAGATAAAAGATGAGAACAACAGTTAAATTCAGAATATAGATGATAACAGAGCATGCCAAAATACAGGAAGCGGTCATGTATAACCTTTGCTTTCTGAAATGGGGACCAAGTGCAGCTGTGCAGCCCTCGAAGTGTGGCTGGTGCAGACTGAGATGTGCTACAAGTGTAACACACAGAGGGTGTCTTAGTGCCCCGAAGAAAGAATGTAAAGTAACTCAGTACTTTTTATATTGATTATGTGTTGAAATAATAATGCATCATTTTATTATAATAATAGTGATAATGATAATGTTTTAGATATATTGGAAATAAAGTATATTATTAAAATTAATTTCACCTGTTTCTTGTTAGTGTTTTTAATGTGGCTACTAGAAAATGCAAAGTTATGTATGTGGCTTGTAAGTATGGCTCCCATTGTGTTTATCTTGGACAGCGCTGCTCCATTGTATGACTTTCGGGGTTCATCAAACCATAAAAATGTAATTGTTCGACTTTTCTTTTGTAGGTGGGACTAGATTTCTCCCCCAGATTTGCCAGCACTGATGAACAGAAGGAAGTGCAAAGACAAGTCCTAATCAGACAGATCCAATTAGCCAAAAGACTAAAGTTGCCTTTGTAGGTTAATTAATCATCTTTCTAGATTAATAGCTATAGAGCAAATTAAATAATAATTCTTTTGAAATGGAGCTCTAAATTTCTTTTTCCCTGAATTACTTTATTAGAACAAAGATGATATTATCAAATTAAGTACTTAAAAGAAATTTTTTTTGTCGTTTAACAGAAATGTGCACTCACGCTCAGCTGGAAGACCCACCATCAGCCTCTTAAAAGAGCAAGGTATTTAGGCTCCTGCGACAGATGTGCCTGATGTTTAAGTATGGTAATCCCAGTCCATATTCTCATAGAAGAGGCCATGTCTTAATTTGACTTCTTAAACAGAAGGAAATAGGGCAAGGGTGAAGGTGGAAATCAACTAAAGTGATTTTGCAAGTCATCCTACTGTTTATAAGGTTTTCACTGTGATTATGATATTTATCAGGCCAGGAAAAAGCAAATGAAAATTTGGATTAAGCAATTTATATTCCTAAAGTAAAAATATATCTCATAGCATTGCTTTTCAAACTTTTTAAAAGTGCCATCCACAGTAAGAAATATACTTTGATGCTCAATATATACACATATATACCTTTTTGGTATTAAGACTTTATTTTGAGACTCGGTGTATACACATACAGAAAACTGACAAGTTGGGGGGGGCGGGGAAATTTTTTGATAAATATGAAAAAGAGAAAACTGACAAGTTTAAGAAGCAGTTCATTTATGTGTATGTGTTGTATAGGTATATGTGTGTGTGTATCTGAATGCATACATATATAAGCACACACTGGTCAGTCTTGACCCACTAAATTGATTTCATAACACACTGTGGTTGTAACCCATTAAAGGTCACACCTGCCATTCAAAAAACAGTATCAAATAGTGAAGTAGACTGGCCGGTGTGGCTCAGTGGATTGAGCATTATCCCGTGCACCAAGAGGTCACCAGTTTGATTCCCTGTCAGGACACATGTCTGAGTTGCAGGCTCTATCCCTGGTGGAGAGCACGCAGGAGGCAGCTAGTCGATGTCCATTTCTCCTTCTCCTTTCCACTCTCTCTAAAAAAATCAATAAAAACCTATTTTTTTAAATAGTGAAGTAAATGTAATTGCCTGCAACTAGAAAGCAATGTATTTCTTAGTGATGAGTACTGAACCCTTTGGAATCACTGAGAGCATGATTTTTTTTTTTTATTTAATTAATTTATTTTTGTTACAGATGTTTCTCCTTTTTCCCCCACTGATTCCCCACTTCCCCTCCCTCCCCGCCCTGTCCCGAGCTTTGTTGTCCATGTCCATTGTTCATGCATACATGCATATAAGTTCTGTGGTTTATCTCTCCCCCCACCCCCTCTTCTGGGTATTGTCAGTCTGTACCCCACTTCCAGGTCTCTGGGACTACCCCATTCCTCAGACTGTTATGTTCATTATATTCCACAAATAAGTGAGATCATGTGATATTTGTCTTTCTCTGCTTGGCTTGTTTCGCTTAGGATAATATTCTCTAGGTCCCTCCATGTCATCTCAAAGGATAAGAGATCTTTCATTCTTACAGCTGCATAGTACTCCATTGTGTATATGTACCACAGCTTTTTTATCCATTCGTCTACTGAAGGACACTTGGGCTATTTCCAGATCTTAGCTATTGTAAACAGTGCTGCTATGAACATGAGGGTACATATATTCTTTCTGATTGGTGTTTCAGGCTTCTTAGGGTATATTCCTAAAAGTGGGATCACTGGGTCAAATGGCAGTTTAATTTTTAATTTTTTGAGGTAACACCATAGTGTTTTCCATAGTGTCTGCACCAGTCTGCATTCCTTCCAACAGTGTACATGATTTTTATGTAGGCTAAGCAGCCATTCTTTAAGAACTGGAGGCAATTTTATGAAGCTAACAGACTATTCAATTTGTGAGACATTTAGCTCCCCATTTCTTCTTCCACTAGCATTCTTGCTAAGGACTATTTGACTGCTTAAAAATCTTCTATTAGGGCCTGGTTGGTGTGGCTTAGTGGTTGAGCATCAACCCATGAACCAAGACGTTGCTAGTTTGATTCCCTGTCAGGGCACATGCCCAGGTTGGTGGCCCAAACCCCAGTGGGGGGCATGCAGGAAGCAGCCAATCAATGTTTCTATCTCCCTCTTCCTCTCTCTCTCAAATCAATAAAGAAAAAAAAAAGTGTTAAAAAAAATACTATTAGGAACAATAATTTGACAGTTCACCAACTTCTGGGAAATGTTTGATGGTAGAGGAAGATTAAAAATTTGTATTTCAATTTTAATAATTTTATTTTGAAGATTTTTATTTTACTGTTTGAACACTATACATTTACCCATCCTTTAGAAGTCATAGAATCTCATCTTTATATTATGGTGACCAAATTTCTGATCTTTGTTGTTCAATTTGATTAATGGAAAAAGCTCTCACTGAGGAAATAAGTTAGAACTCTGATTTATCTTTTATTTTTGAGAGGTGCTGACAAAGTGCTGCTACATGCTTTTGATGGCCGGCCATCTGTAGCCATGGAAGGAGTAAAAGCTGGATACTTCTTCTCAATTCCTCCTTCTATCATAAGGAGTGGACAGGTAAATTCTTTCGTTAAACTTCATCTTCTCATACTATCATGATTACATTAGATTTATGGTAAGTTTTGAAATCAGATAGTATGAGAATTCCAATTAGCTCTTTTTTTTTTTTTTAAATCTTTATTGTTGGATGTAAAATGTATTACAGATGTTCCACATTTTTCCCCCATTGACCCCTCCTCCCCACTCCCGCCCCCCTCCCACCTTTTCCCACATTATTGTCTGTGTCCATTGGTTATGCATATAAGTTCTTTGGTTTATTTCTTCCCACCACCACGCCCAACCCCTTTCCCTTTGAGGTTTGTCAGTCTAGCAATGAATTTGTACTTCTTAATCCCTTCACCTTTTTCACCCATTCCCCCAACTCCCTTCCCAACTGGCAACCAACAAAATGTTCTCTGTATCTATGAGAATGTTTCTGTTCTACCTGTTCATTTTGTTTGTAGATTCCATTGTTGATAGATCTGTATTCATTGCCATTTTGTTTGTTCATACATTTTATCTTTTTCTTCAAAAAAACCCTTCATCATTTCATATAATAACGGTTTGGTAGTGATGAACTCCTTTAACTTTTTCTTGTCTGGGAAAGTCTTCATATGGCCATCGATTCTAAATGTCAGCTTTGCAGGACAGAGTAATCTTGGTTGTAGGTTCTTGCTTTTCATCACTCTGAATATTTCTTGCCACTCCCTTCTGGCCTGCAAAGTTTCTTTTGAGAAATCAGCTGACAGCCTTATGGGAACTCCCTTGTAGGTAACTAGCTGCCTTTCTCTTGCTGCTTTTAAGATTCTCTCTTTGTCTTGAACCTTTTGCATTTTGATGATGATGTGTCTTGGTGTGGGCCTCTTGGGGTTCATCTTGTTTGGGACTCTCTGTGCTTCCTGGACTTGTACGTCTGTTTCCTTCACCAAGTTAGGAAAGTTTTCTGCCATTATTGTTTCAAACAGGCTTTCGATTTCTTGTTCTTGCTCTTCTCCTTCTGGCACCCCCAAGATGCAAATGTTGGCACGCTTGAAGTTGTCCCAGAGGCTCCTTACTCTATCCTCATTTTTTTGGATTCCTTTTTCTTTTTGCTGTTCTGATTGGGCATTTGTTGCTTCCCTATATTCCAAGTCGATGGTTTGCTCCTTGGATTTACGTACTCTATTATTGAAGCTGTGCAAATTATTCTTTATTTCAGTTAATGCCTCCTTTAATTCTAACTGTGTATCCATGATTTATAACTGGTCCTTTTTTATGCTCTTGAGGCCCTCCCTAAGTTCACTGAGGTTCTCACTAAGTTCACTGAGCATCCTTAAAGCAGTATTTTGAACTCAATATCTGTTAGGTTGCTTATCTCCATTTCGCTTAGTTCTTTTATTGGGGTTTTGTTCTGTTCTTTCATTTGGGACCTGTTTCTTTGTCTCCTCATTTTGGCTGCCTCCCTGTGTTTGTTTCTGTGTATTACTTAATGAGAGGTATGAGGCTCGCTGAGACCAGATGCTGCTCGTTTGAAAGAATTTAGGAAAAACCTGAAGCAGGATCCAAGACAGGCCAATCCTATGGTTAAGCAAGTGGCAACAGCTTGGGTGGGCTTGAAAGTTGGGTGGGGCGGGGCCTCAGGGAGTCAACAGGGCGGGGCTACCAGTGTGAGCCAGGTTGCTGGAGTCCCAGATATGGCTTCTGTCTGCCGCCCCCGGGAAGGGCTCGCCAAAGGAACAAAGGCCTCTTACAGCACGTTTGTCCCCAAGAAAGCCCCCTCTCCAGCCCTCGCTCCAGTGCCAAACAGCTCAGTTCTTCCCTGTATGTCTCTGGTGCCCCTCGAGCTGCCTCCCCTCCAAGCTTAGAGGGAGAGAGTCCGGTAAGTCCGTGCGCGGGCCCTTTAAGGAGCTGCCTGGGGCTCCAGCCGCCTCAGCCTCCCTGAGCCTCAGTTCCCGCTGGTTTTTCCAGCCAGAAGTTATGGGGACTCTCTTCCTGGCACTGGAACCCTGAGCGGGGCACCTGGTGTGGGACGGGCACCCCTCAGTCCTCAGGAAGGACCTTCCCAGCTGAGGTGTCCTCCTGATTTTTATCCGCCACACGTGGGTGTGGGACCAGCCCGTCCCCTCCGCCCCTCCTACTAATCTGGATGTGGCTGCTGCTTTAATTCCGTAGTTGTCGGACTTCCATTCAGCTTGATTTCAGGCGGTTTTGAATGATGGTTGTTCTGTAGTTTAGTTGTAACTTTGATGTGGTTGTTGGGGGATGGGATACCGCGTTTACCTAAGCCGCCATCTTGACCCAACAGTGTCCAATTAGCTCTTTATTTTCAAAATTACTTTGGCTATTCCAAGTCCCTCGCCTTTCCATCTATGTTCGAATCAGCTTGATGACTACAAAAAAAGCTGGCTGGGATTTTTATTGGAATTACATTGAATCTATAGATCAATTTGGGGATAATTGATGTGAACACATTAAATCTCTTTATTTAGATCTTTGATTTCTCTCTTCAGTGTTTTATAATTTTCTACAAATCCTGCACATATTTAGTTAGATTTATCTCTAAGTATTTTATATTTTTCATTCTATTTTAACTGGTACTGGTTTTAAAATTTTAGTTTTCTGTTATTCATTGCTAGTATATAGAAATACAATTATTTTTATATATTAAACTTTTTTCAAGTGACCTTGCTGAATATATATTAGTGCTAGTAGAGTTTTGTAGATTTTTCAGGATATTTTATGTAGACAATTATGTCATCTTTGAATAAAAATATTTACTTTTTCCTTCCCAATATTTGTGCTCTTTATTTCTTTTTATTGCCTCATTTCACTGGATATACAACTACTAGTAGAATGTTGGATAGAAGTAATAAAAGTAGAAACCCTTGCTTTTTTCCTGATCAGGGGAAAGCATTTATCCCATTACTATTTTTTTAAATGTTTTTATTGATTTTTTTTTTTTTTTGAGAGAGAGAGAGGAAGGGAGAGATAGAAACATCTATGTGAGAAACATCCATCCGCCGCCTCCTGCACACCCCCTGCTGGGGATCGAGCCCACTTCTGGGGCACGTGCCCTGATCAGGAATTGAACTGGTGACCTCTTGGTGCATGGGTCAATGCTCAACCACTGAGCCACACCAGCTGGGCTATTCCATTACTATTGAGTATAATATCAGCTTCAGGTTTGTTACAGGGTTAAGGAAGTTCCTTCTCTTTCTAGTCTGCTGAGAGTTTTAATGAAAAATGGTGTTGGATTCTATCAAATTGTTTTTTGACAATATGTTATCCTTTTTATAGTTTCTTAGATAGAGCCTTAGATTATTTGAAACCTTTCCTATTTTCTAATATAAATACTTAATGCAGTAGTTGCATTAACACTAACCACTTATGGTTAAAATCCACAAATCGTAATATATGTTGTATTTTTACTTCTTTCTAAATGTTTTCTAATTTACCTTGTGACTTCCTCTTTGACCATAACAATTACTTAAGAGTGTATTGTTTAATTTCCAATACTTAGGAATTTTCCTGATATCTTTTCATTTCTGATTTCTACTTTAATTCTACTGTGTTCAGGAAACATACATTGTATGATTTTAATTCTTTTAAATTGGTTGAAGTTTGTTTAACGGCCTAGAATATTGCATTTTGGTGAAGAGAACATACACACTTTGAAATAATGTGCATTCTGCTGTTGTAGGCTGAAGTGTTGTAGAAATGTCAATTGATAGTTCAAGATTATTTTTATTTTTCCTACTTTTAGCTTTTGTGGGAAAACTTCTTATTTGGTAGTAATCTTTAGCTGTGGCATGTTTCTTTTTCAGAACTAAAGTACTATTTTCTTCTCATTTTAAAGATTATATTTTTACACTATAGAAAATTGAATCACTTCAGGAAAAAAATTTTAAGTCAATCCAGATCTTACAACTCAGAGACAATAATTGTTAACATTCTTTCAAATAAAATAAGAAGATAACCTTATTCTTTTTGTTTTTAGTTAGCTTCATGGCTATTTGTCTCAAATACGGACATATTTCATTTTTATTTATTTATTTATTTATTTATTTTGTTTTTGGGTTGTGTTTTTTTGGTACGTGCCCCTAGCGGGAACTGAATCCAAGACTCTCTGGTCCGCAGGCCAACAAACACTCCAGCCACTGAGCCAAACCAGCCAGGGCACATATCTCATTTTTAAAATGATTGCATAATGTTTCATAATGTGCTTGTAGCAGAATTTATTTAAACATTACCTAAGTAAAGGTTAGGTTATTTCTGATTTTCCAGTTACAAACAGTGCTCAGTGAATACCTTTGTATATCCACAATACACTTGTGCGGTTATGCCCTATAAATGGAATTACCAAGTAAAGGATGTAAATTTTTATTATTTTAATCCTCACTCAAGGATATTTTTCTATTTATCTTCAGATTGAGTAGGAGGGAGAGAGAGAGGAAGAGACATCGATGTGAGAGAGACACATCGACTAGTTGCCTCCTGCATGACCCTGGACCCCGACTGGGGCTGGGGAGGAACCACAATCGAGGTATGTGCCCTTGACCAGAGTCAAACCTGCAGCTCACTGGTCTGCGGGCCGGCGCTTTAACCAGCCATGGTGAGGATGTAAATTTAAATTTCTGGTTAAACTGTCACATTTTCTTAAAGAAATTTATACTACTTTAACTTTTATCTCCCAGCAGTGCATGAGCATACCTGTTTCTGTGCTTTTGAAATTTTAATCTTAAAATAATATATTATAATAATATTTCATTCTGCATCATGTGTCTCCCTCCCATTTTTTACTTTAAAAGTGCAGTGGCAGTAAAAGAACTCACTGAGTTCATTGCAGTCTTTATAATCCAGACAGAAAGTTATAAATAATAAAACCATCTACTACCCAATCTAAAATGTGCATATAAACTTTGGATTTATAAACACAAAGCCTTGAGTGACTTAAAGTGAATAGTAGAAAGAAACACTGAGTGTGGTAAAGAAACAGCAGAAGTCTCTTAGATCTTTTAGTGTGCTGTTGATATCAGGTGTATGAATTTCTTGCTGGGTGTGCTATTGGTTACTACTGCTCAGGTCCCTGGAGGCTTTGGATAATTTTTGGCAATGAATGTTTCTATTTAAATCTGTTAGTGATAGAATGATGATAATATAGTGATTATTTATTAATAGAATATTAAAGCATGAACTTTAAGCTCTTGCAGAGTAGAATGTGTTGGCATGTGGGTTTAATGTTCCTTTTTTTATCTTTATTACTCATGTTTTAAACCAACTAGCCTCACCCTGCTGGTGTGGCTCAGTGGATTGAGTGTTTTCCCAGGAACTGAGAGGTCCCAGTTCCATTCCCTATCAGAGCACATGCCCAGGTTGCAGGCTGTATCCCTGGTAGGAAGCGTGCAGGAGGCAGCCAATTGATGTATCTTTCTCATATCGATGTTTCTATCTCTCCCTTTCTCTCTCTGTAAAAACTTAATAAAAACTTTTTAAATAAATAAACAAACTTACTAGCCTTCTCTTTCTTCTAAGAAGCAGAAACTTGTGAAACAGTTGCCTTTAACCTCAATTTGCTTGGAAACAGATTCACCTGCACTAGGACCAGAAAAACAGGTAAATGATTTTCTAATTTCTACATTATTTAGATTATATCTTTCATTTGAGCTATTTCCAATTTAGCTGTGTTTGCCATTACAGTATAAATACAATGGAATCCTATTTTTGTGCTAGGTTGAGAGCTTATATTAACTTAATTTCAGGTCTTTTCTAAATATAATTGTTATGCCCCAAAGAATATTTTTTGATATGGAGCATGTCCTCATTTATGTAATAATGAAAGCCAGACCAGTGTAGCAAAAAACTCATTGTTGAGAGTCAGAAAGACTTGGATTCAAATCCTGTCTCTGCTACCTTCTAGCTGTGTGACTTTGGGCAAGTTACTAATCTTTCTGAAACTTTCTTCATTTATAAAATGTGGGCAAAATAATAATAAAATACTTTAAAATATTATAGTAAGAATTAAATGGAGAAATGTATATGAAAATGCCTAGTAGTATCTGGTATATAGTAAGATGCACAATAAATGTTTTTCTTCTTCTAATTAAATTGTTATAATAAGGCTCTGTTTCTTCCAGTACACGTACTGATATAGTCATAGATTTACTTATATGATCTTTGCTGTACTCTTGTTACTGTAGGCCATGAAGAATTATGTTTAAATATTGCTACTATTTTAAATTATAATTTTTTGAAAGGAGGCCATAGTATCAGCTTTATTTGCTTTAGACAGTACCTGTTTCAGTCTCTTCCCAATGTGCAGTTTACTAAGTATCCCAACTGCCCATCAGATCTGTGTCTCCATGTGCACCAACTCAGAGATCTGATACTCAAGATTTAGAGATTTGGGACCAATAGTGATGTGATTGTTAATAAACAATGATTATTTGTAATTGCAATGTGAGTTTTGTTCACTAATATCCAATTAGTTATATGTTTGTATGAATCAGCTTTAATAAGAATATAGAAGACAGAGGGATGAGAAAATAGAGGATCACGACTCCAGTATTTTTATTTGTTTGGTTATAAGATAGAACAGTACAGAAATGCCTTTCTGATTGATGTAAAATAGAAGGAAAAGGACCTAGCATTTTTTTCCCTAAACAGAAATGAATTTCAAGTGCTGTTATAACTCAATTTTATATTTGTATTTAGTTGATTTGATAAAATTGTGAGTTTCTGGCGTAGTGCCTTACACATAGTAGATACTAAAAAATATTTATTGAAAAACTGAATTTTTAGCTGAATATGCTTTTTGTTAAGTAAAATGTGCTTTTCTAGAAAATCAGAAATCACAGAAAATCATAAACAAGAAAGTAACCATCTGCCACTGAAAGGTTACCACTATAGTGTGGTGTCAGGAACGTTAACCCTGGTGTCAGTTTGTATAGGTTTAAACCTCAGCCGGGCTACTTACCAGCTGTTTAGGGTCCCTTCTTGTCTCTAAAAAGGGATGCTAATGATAACAGTACCTATCTCATAGAACTGTTTTGAGGATTAAGTGATGAGAAGTTCCCTGAAAAGCTTAGAACAAAACCTCTCCTACAGTAAGCACTAAATAAATGCAAATATGTGTGTCCTTCCAGACTTTTTATATTCACACATACTTATGTATCTACAGTTCATAAAAATAGGGCTAGTCTGAACACATCATTTTATAACTTGTTTTATGTGGTGAGCATCTGAAAATGTCAATAAATATACTTTTCCTCATCATATTTAATAACTGCACAATATTCCAGTGTGTGAATCTACCATAATATATTTAACCTTGATATTGTGATTTGGGTTGTTGTCAATCAGTATCATAAACAATATGATGAATGTCCTTGAGCATAAATCTTGGTGTACATTGTTTTCTTAGGCCACATTATCAGGTTATTTTTTTTAACCTTAAGAATTTTTTTATTCCTCTGAGCATGATCATCCTGAGTAGATAACTTAATAATATATTTCACAAAATCTAAATTCACAGTCTAAATGATTATAGATGCAACACTGTTTTGTGACCATTAGAAAAAGAAAAAAAAACACTGCCAATTATACTATGGCATGTCACTGAGTCTCGGTAAAATATGTATCAATTTCAGAGATGTTAAAATAGGAGGAAATGCATCTTGACTCAGTGAGGTACCAGTACATACTCTGTTTAGTCTTCCAGGTGGCATTTCTTGACTCAAACTGTGATATGGCCCGTGAGGCGAAGGAGCCAAGCAGCAGAGCAGTGACTTTACAAGCACTCAGTTAAGCAGCCAACCAAAGGACAGTTAATCCATCAGTCGTGCAAGTCGCCAAGTGTCCACTATTTGCAGACTGCTAGATGCTGGGACTGCAATTGTTAATACCCCAGGGCTCTTTTTAAGAGCACCATAGACTTGCAGTCAATGTCGTAGCTATAGCTTCTAAGCTGAAGTGCAGGACTTTCTTCCCAGCCTCACAATCCCCTCAACCTCCCCATTCCCATAAAACAAAAGAATAAAGAGCTTATCAGTTGTTTTTATCAACCTGTTTTCTTCTGTTATATCTACAGTCTTCAAGGATTGCTTCTATTGACAGTCATGTTCGATTTAGTGTCTGCTTTGTTCTGTTACAGGTACGGAATGAACCCCGAAACATTTCCATTTCAGCGGAATATATTGCCCAGGTGAAAAGAATCTCAGTGAAAGAAGTCATAGAAGTGACAACACAGAATGCACTGACGCTGTTCCCCAGGCTTCAGCACCTGCTCCAGAAATAGCTTCAAAACCAAATCAGCTGCAGGGGGCAGCTGGTTAATAGTCTGAACTGAAGAATCCATTATACAGGGATTGAGAAGATTATACATTTATTTATTTTATTTTTCTTCTTTATTGATTTTAGAGAGAGGAAGGAGAGGGAGAGAGACAGACAGAAACATCGATGAGAGAGAACATCAATTGGCTGCTTCCTGCATGCCCCCCACTGGGGATCGGGCCCAGAACCTGAGCATGTGCCCTGACTGGGAATTGAACTGGAGACCTCTTGGTGAATGGTTCAGTGCTCAACCACTGAGCCACACTGGCCAGGCCCAGTTTTATTTCTAAGAGAACTATTTTTCTAAAACTATAATCTTCGCCCTCGTTGGTTTGGCTCAGTGGTTAGAGCGTCGGCCTGCGGTCCATAGAGACCCAGGTTCAGTTCCCGCTAAGGGCGCATACCTCGGTTGCAGTTTGTCCCAGGCCCTGGTTGGGCCGTGCAGTAGGCAATTACTCAATGTGTCCCTTTCACATTGATGTTTCTCTCTCTCTCTCTCTCCCTCCCTTCCTCTCTCTCTCTCCCTTCTACTCTATCAAAACAAAAAATGGAAAAATGTCCTCGGGTAAGAATTAACAAAAAATAAACTATAATCTTCTTGCCCGGCTGATGTGGCTCAGTGGTTGAGTGCTGACCCATGCACAAGAGGTCACCAGTTTGATTCCCAGTCAGGGCACATGCCCAGGTTGTGGGCCCAATCCCCAGAGTGGGGCATGCTGGAGGCAGCTAATTGATGTTCTCTCTCATCAATGTGTCTATCTCTCTCCCTCTCCCTTCCTTTCTCTTTAAAATCAATAAAGAAAAGAAATAAAACAGGGCTTGGATCCTGAAACCCTGGATTCTAATTCTACCTTGCACTGCTATTCAATTAACGGAGTCCTAGCAGGTGACCGGGAAGCACCGCTGCTTCTCACTTGCCCCATGAAACAGAACCACCACGCGCTGAGAGCATTTCCTCTGGACAGGGGGGGCCCGCAGGAGGGAGTGGGTGCTGCTGTGATGGCATGGAGCGGGACAGAGCTCCATCCTTCGTCACCTGTCTTACTTCCCACCGGACAAGTCTAGCAGAAGGAGACCTTGTCATTTCTTACGCTATCAGAAATCTTCTGCCCTGGCCAGGTAGCTCAGTTGGTTAGAGTGTCATCCTGATACGCCAAGGTTGTGGGTTCGATCCCTGGTCAGGGCATAGACAAGAATCAGTCAATGAATGCATAAATAAGTGAAACAGCAAAGAGATCTCTCTTTCAAATCAATTTAAACCAATGGATATAGACAACAATGGTAGAGAGCCGGGGGTGGGACCGGGAGGAGGGTGTCTAGGGGGGAAAAGAGAAACATCCGTAACAAAAATTAATTAATTAAAATGTTTTAAATCTTTGGTATAAAAAGTTCTGTGGATGGATGGTGGTAATGGTAGCAAAACAACGTAAGTGTACACAATGGCATTGAACTATACACTTATTAAGACAGTAAATTTCAAATGAAGTTAGTCACAGGAAGGAGCGGGGCTGAGCTGACTTCTTTCTGGTGAGGTGGGCAGCCTGGTGGGGCTGCCTGAGCTGCAGGCTCTGCCCAGGACTGGCCGCTGTCTTCGTGCCTCTAAGTCAGTGGCATGAATTGGGCTTTCTCACCCTCCTGCAGACTATGAACCATCCACTACTCTGTAAGTTCCTTTTCTTCTTAAATTAGCCAAAGTTGGTTTGTGTTGCTTGCATCTTTAAGAACCCGGCTTGAGAGGAGATGCATCCCCTGAAGTAGGTGTCCCAGAGAGACGGTAGGGAAAATGAGGAAGCGGGAAGGAGGAAGAGAAGGAAATCTGAGACCAGAGCCTGGCTTGCTTTCCAGGCAGCAAAATACGATAATTTTAAGGGGTGAGATAACTGTTGGTCCATAGCAGATGGTAATCAATGTTGTGAAAGCATTTGTTTTTATTTAAAATTTTTAATGTTGACATAATTGCAGGTCTCCCCCTTGTCCCCACACTTTGCCCACCTCCCCCCACCCCCGCTTCCCCCTTCCTTGGCCTTTACCAAACTATTGTTTGTATCCATCGGGCATGCGTATATGTTCTTTAGATCATCCTTGCACCTCTTTATCCAGTCACTCCAGCCTGTTCCCCCCGGGTCCTGGCCGGCTGTCCCATGTGTCCATGCTTCCGGTTCCAGTCTGTCTGTCAGTTTTTTGTTCACTCCATTCCACATATTGGTGAGATCATATGGGATTTGCTCTTTGACAAGAATGTGTGCTGATTTGGGGGCAGCCCAAAGGGTACACTGCAATGAACATTTTTATTCTTTTTATTGTTGTTAATCCTCACCCGAAGATAGTTTTCCATTGATTTTTTTAGGTAGAGTGGAAGGGGAAGGAAAGGAGGGAGGGAAGGAGGGAAAGAGAGAGAGAGAGAGAAACATTTATGTGAAAGAGACACATCAATTAAACCTGCAACCCAGGTACGTGCCCTTGGCCAGAATCGAACTGCAAACCTTTGGTCTGCAGGCCAACGCTCTAACTGCTGAGCCAAACCAGCCAGGGCAACAATTTCATTTTTTTTCTCCACTTTTGCTGTATTTGTGGGGTCTCTTACCCTATGAGGCAGAGCCCATCTTCAACTCTACCTGGTCCTTCCCTTTGGACACATCTTGCATGCCAGCAAAGAACAGCAGCCCCCTGCCTGGCCTGCAAGACCCTCTCCGGGGAAGAGGCATTGGACGTTGGCAGCTCCAGCAGCAATGGCAGGCCACACGAGTCTTTTCTGAGTGCCAGGGATGCCACAGGAAGCCTTCCTGCACAGGCCTCATCTTGGGAACTCACTGCTGTCTGCAGACAGCTCTGCAGGGAGCCCGAGCAAAAATGGAGGGAGCTGCATGTCTGTTCATCCATGTTTGCTGAGGAACACGTGCATCAGCAGACGTGAAACACTCCTGGGAGGGGAGGTGTCTGGACTCACTGCAATTTCACGTAGGGTCAGAGTCTGAAGTACAGTTTTGACTTTTGAGTTTCTGGTTCTAGCCCCAGACTGTTAGAAGATGTACAGAGGAGGACAAAGTAGAAATACCTAGGAGGGAAAGTGGGTGGGGGAGGGGAAACTTCCAGGAGAAGGTGGTATTTAAACTAAAGGTAGCCAGGTGAAGTGGGTAACAAAGCAGAGAACTGCAGGTAGTTCTATAAAACTACAGGTTCCTGAGGAAGGAGGTAGGAGAGGATTATAGAGAAGTGAGATCGGAAGGTTGTTAAATGTTTTATACTTAACCTGACACTCATTTACTGTGTTTACTCCCTATGGTTCATCTTAGATTGAGCCAAAGAAATGATGCAATATTTGATTGTCTTTATGTGGGCTGCTCAGTACTGGGAGATAATCCTCTATAGGTCTCTCACATGTCTGTGTGTCTCTGGAGCAGAGACACTGACAGATTTTGTTCCATATTATCTCTCTTTTTTATTTGAGAGAGAGAGAAACATCAATTTGTTGTTCCACTTATTTATGCATTCATTGATTGATTCTTATGTATGCCCTGACCGGGGATCAAACCCTCAACCTTGGCATATCGGGACAGCACTCTAACCAACTGAGTTACCTGGCCAGGGCCCAGATTACCTCTTCAAGGATGTTTGTATAGCCAAGGGCCCTGGAGGACAGAGATAATGTCTCCCACTGGAGCAGAGAGCAGGTTTATTTACTGTACAATATGATAAAGAGAGTGTCTTCCCCCAGTCAAAGGTTGGGTTTCTTAAGCTCAGGCCTTCAGCTGTGAGGCCAAACCTCTGTGTGTATGACAATGGCATCTGTCTGACAGCTTCACACGTTTGCTGGGGAGGACAGAGGGAACCAATCAGAACACAAGGCTTGTGCTACTTGCTGTGCTCTGATTTATACAGTTTTTTTTGCCTCTAAACCAAGAGTCTTATGTCTTCTGTCAATGCCCATGAAACTGGGGCAGTCTAACCCTTCATAGCTCCTGACACTAGATCACTAGATGTTTTGCTTTTGTTTTTTTTTCTTTTTCAAGAAGCAAAAAATTAGCTTTGGATCTGATACACACACACACACACACACACACACACACATGCCCTCAGGATCAATGAATCTTATCCCCATTGTGCTCTGGTGCCGTCCTAGCTGAGATGAGGTTTTAGGCCAGTTGACTGATCCATACCTCTTCCAGTATTAACATGCTTTGGCTTGTGAATCTGAGCTTTCTATGGAGGGAGAGGGCAATCAAATAGAAGGTGAATATTTCACTGATGCAAAGACCAAAGCAAAGCAGCAGCTGGGTTCCAGGCCAAATAGTACTCAGCTTGCCATATGGAATAGCACGCTGTTAATTCAAACTGCAGGAACACAGCCAAGTTAAAATCTGAAAAGTAGTCTGCTCTCCAAGAAGGAATTACACAGAATTGATACCAACCAAATAGGATTTGGCCTCGACATAATTCTAGCAATGCCCACTTTGGGGATGAGCAATAAAATAAAACAAAAAGCTTCATTTATATAGGCACCTTATTACTCTCTCAAGTATGTACTTATTCAAATTATCAAAATCAGCTCTGAATTAATGCAATTAAGTGTTTAGAAGCAAGTTGTTAACTTTGAGAACTTTAACCTTCTACTTGATCAGTGGGATTGGTGAATATACTCCACTGATTTATAGAAATAAACCTAAACGATTTAAACATTTTTAATGTTTTTTTCTTTATTGATTCTAGAGAAAGAGGAAGGGAGAGGGAGAGAGAGAAATATCGATGAGAAAAAACATCGATTGGCCACTTCCTGCATGCCTCCCACTGGGGATTGGTCCCACAACCTGGGCATGTGCCCTGACTGGGAATCGAACTGGCGACCTCTTGGTGCATGGGTCAACACCCAACCACTGAGCCACACTGGCCACATCAATTTAAACATTTTAGATTAATAAAGAGACGATTACTGTAAAGTGAACTTGTAGGTGATACATCTTTGAAAGTATTTTTAATAACTCAAATCATCCCTTCAAAACATCTAACTGATAGAATGGAATGAATGAAAACATAATACATTTTATGTGACTTGACCAAATGTTTTCTTGGTAATCTAGCAAACAATTTTGGCTTTTTAAATTAATATTTGTAAATAGTTTAGACAGACACTGAAGAAGGATCAAAGAGATGGTATTTTTGTGTCCCTGGAGATGCACTTTATCCAAATATGGCATTATCTGAAAAATAAAAAGTATCTGTTATATAACAATACATTTCATAATTTTCAAAATAACCCCGAGGGCAGAGAGGATGCATACTGTTTCACAGACACAGAAAGTAAGGTTTAGAAACAATAAATGACTAAAAGCATGAGACTAGTCAATGGCAGAAGCAGAACATGAACCCATGTGCAATGGACTGAATGTGTCCCCCCAAATCCCTGTTTTGAAACCTTGATCCCAGTGTGATGGTGTTAGAAGGTGGGGCTTTGGGAGGTAATTATGTTATGAGGGTGGAGCCCTCATGAATGGGATTAGTGCCCTTATGAGAAGAGGCCAGAGAACTAGCTACTCTTTCCGCCACGTGAGAGGACACAGCAAGACAACAGCCCTATAAACCAGAAAGAGGGCAAGCACTAAGAACCTGACCTGACACTCTGATCTCAACTCCTCTCCTCCAGACCTGTGAGAAATAAATTTGTCATTTAAGCCACCAGTGTATGATACTTTTTTAATAGCAGCCCAAAGTAAGATCTTTGCTTTCTGTTTTTAAGGGTAAGACTGCCCCTCTTTTGGTGTTCACACCTCTAAGTGGCAGATTAAAGAGAGCTTGGTAAGGGGTTGTAGGGTGTTGGGACGTTCTATTTAGATAGGGTGATTTCTGATGAATTTGCTTTTGAACAAAGATCTGAATAAAATGCAGGTAGAGGGAACAGCACATGCCACGTCCCTGAGGTGGGAACCAGAGTGGTACATCCCAGGAAGAGGAAGAAAACCATGGTGGCTAAGGGGGATGAGGCCAAGGAAAGTAGAAGAGATAGGCTGGAAAGATAAGCACACAGGATAAGGAGTGGATCTTAGCCTCAGTGTGGTTGAAGCGAGTTTTGAGTAACCAGTGATATACCTAATACATGTTTTAAAAAGATCACTCAGACTGTTGTGTGAAGAAGTAAATGTGGGAGGTTGCGAGGTCCCTGCCGGACTTGGGGAGAGAGATGATCATGGGTTGGATCTGGGTAGTAGCAGCGGTCAGATTCAGGATTGATTTTGAAGGAAGAGTTGACAGAACTTCCTGACAGACTGGATGTGGGATGTGAAAGAGGGGAGTCAAAGGTACTCCTGGATATCCGGCCATTTCCCAAGATGAGGGGTCAAGGGTGAGTGAGTATGTGTGTTGGGGGTAGAGGATAGGAATTCTGTTCTGACAATGGTATGTTTGAGATAACATCAAGGAGAGGTGGCAATCTGATATATACAATCTGACAGACTCAATCTGTCCAGAACTCAGGAGGAACGTGAGGACAGAAATAAAAATGTGGGAGTCATCAGAATAGATGAGGTTTTAAGTCCTGTAACTGGGTGAAGACCTGCAGTCTGTTTAGCTTGAGATCACCTAGAAACTAAGTGTAGATCAGTGGTTCTCAACCTTCCTAATGCCGCGACCATTTAATACAGTTCCTCATGTTGTGGTGACCCCCAACCATAAAATTATTTTTATTGCTACTTCATAACTGTAATTTTGCTACTGTTATGTCTTAGGCGACTCCTGTGAAAGGGTCGTTCGACCCCCAAAGGGGTCGTGACTCACAGGTTGAGAACCGCTGGTGTAGATGATGAGATGATCCAGTTTGAGTGTTTCTGTTCTTCAACATTCAGAGGACAAAAGAGGACCATCTTATATACAGAGGGTATTATTTTATAGTTAACAATGTTTATCATTTGATTCATTGCATATTTGTTGAGGGCCTACTAGCGAAATATATGTTCATCAGATTTTGGAGGTAATGTCCCATCTCCTTGTATTACAAAGGAGGGTTTTTTCCTTGCATCTGCTGGCCTCCTGGAGGAGGGAGTACTCTCTCATCTCTTCTCAGTCTAGTGTGGCAGGCCCAAACTTTTCCTTTAATTGGACTGAGTTCTCTTTTGGGTGAGTTCACCTTTCGCTGCCTTTAATGCAAAATTCCTTCCTCCAATATAGATTTGTTTTCCAGTAACAGAGCCAACATTTTTACCTCAATCTATCTCTTAATTGATGCAAACCCAGATTGGGAACAGAAGGGTATTGTTGACTTTTTCTTTCTTTCTTTTTTTTTTTTAATCCTCACCCGAGGACATTTTTCCATTTTTGTTGTTGTTGTTGTTGTTGTTCAGACAGAGTGGGAGGGAGAGAGAGAGAGAGAGAGAGAGAGAAACATCGACGTGAAGGGGACACATCGAGTGGCTGTCACCCGCACGACCAACCAGGGTCAGGGACAAACATGCAACTGAACTCAGGTCTCTCTGGACCACAGACCGATGCTCTAGCTGCTGAGCCAAACTGGCCAGGGCTATTGTTGACTTTTTCAAACCTTAACAGTATTCAGAATAAAGTAGACACTCAAAAAAATAATAATATATATATATTTTATACATTTTTTATATATTTTATATGTTTATATATATTTTATATATATACACCCAGGTACTTCTCTAATACCCAGGTACTCTCCACTTGTGGAAATAAAAAGAAAATAAGCCTCACTATCCCCCTTTTTAAAATCCCTGATAAGAATTCAAGTTGAAACTAAAGGCCATACGTTTCAAGTACAGATTAACAAGAAAACCACAGGGGTAAAATGTTAACACGCTTTGAGAATACATAGCACTGGATCAAAAATACCTACCATTTGTTCAGATGATTGGTTCTCAAACTTGTTGATCTCAGGACCCATTATACTCTTAAAAATTATAGAGGACCTTATCAAGCTTTTGTTCATGTGTGTTGTCTTTCTCAATGTTTACCACACAAGAAATCAAAGCAGAGAAAACGTTTTATACTCAAGAGTACAACTCTAGATTCCATGAATGGTCAGGATAATGATGTCATTGCACATCTTACTGCTTCTGGAAAACTCCATCTTACTCCCATGAGAGTAAAAAGGGCAAATAATATCTCAGTATTATTGTCCGCGGATGGCGACTGGGCCCGAACCTGCCTCTGGCTGGCTGGCAACGTGTGGGTTCTAACCCACTTCATGCAGGAAAGAGTTTACAACCCAAGCCCAGGTGATTTGAAGTGTATCTATTAAAGCTGGGAACAGTGAGTGTTTGGGAGAAAGAAAAGAACAAGTTCACACCTGAGATAATGTGAGAGTCCTCCTTGCACCCTTTGTCTGAGGGCTTTATCTCTCTTTTTAGGGTGGGAACGCTAGGGGAGGTCTCATGGGAGGTTTCAGCAGAATAGTCATCACTTTTTCAGGTGTGTTCTTTAATAGGTTGATGTTCCAAAATGAGTGCAGAGAGAGACAGGGTCATTTTCTGGTCAGCTTTGCTTCTATCTTGGATTTGTCTAGCTCTACTGGGGTCTTTTTGCCATTTATTCCCCTGGCTTCATTCCTCCTTGGGTTTGGTTGGCACCAGTGACACTAACTGGGTCTCTGTTCTCTCTCTCCCTGAGCAGGGTAATTGAAGCTATTTACTCTCTGGTTAGGGAGGAGAGATGTAAACTATTTGCTCTCAAGTGTCCCTGGTTAGGGAAGATAAGATCTTGCGATTTACTAGCTGGTTGTGTATTACTTGACTTGTTTGGCTCTATTTGTTTAACCATTTGCCTCAGTTTCTCTTTTCCCACTTGCCAAAAAAATTCTCCTAACATCTAACTATCCTGCCTCATTATGAAAATAGCTTTGACCTCATGGAGCCCTGAAGATGACTTGAACACCCATGGGTGCCCAGACCACCCTTTGAGAACTACTAATTTAGACTAATTAAAGAAAGAACATGTATTCACATATCAATTCCTATAACATTTAAATTAGGTATAATCTTATTCTATATCTTGTCATCATAAAGTTGAGTTTCTGTTTAAGTTGGCTCACTTAAAAGGAATAAAAATTTCTGCAATATTTAAAGGTTTGTTTTAATGTTCCAGAATCGTTGGCTTATAACCTTAATATCATTAATGCTGGTTATGGAAATTATATTTGTTAGACTGTGTTTTGTAGAAAACCATGAGTATTCATGTAAAGTGGTCAAGTATGTCATAGGAGGTGGATTTTACCCTTCACTATCAAACTTGTGAGAACTAACATACTACCTGTGATTTAACACGTCTAGCTCCAAGTAATTCAACCAGAATAAAAGATAACACTTAGAAGTAGGAACAGTAAAGGCATTCCTCCTTGTAAAAGAGTTACATTTCAATGTAAAATAAACACATGACTGTCAGAGATGGACTTGCAAACACAGTGGAGAACCTCCCTTTTCTAGGCCATCCTGTTTCACCCTCTCAACACCACTTCCTGGGAGCATAGGGCAAATGTGAAGTCACAGCTTCCTCATCAAAGAAGCTCCATCTCCAATATGGCACTGCTTTTGTCTCTGATCTAACTTAATCATCTGTTGGTTGTATTTAATAGAATTATACTCTCCTTCCCCCACCCCCCCCCCCCCCGCCCCAAATAAATGAGAAATACATTATCAGTTGCTTGCCTTGGATGAGAAACAAGTATTCACAATCAAGGTAGTTACCAGTTCTTCTTCCTCTTCCTGCAAAATACTACTACTACTGAACACCCCCCGCCCAACCTCCCTCCACATTTTGTTATTGTTCCTGGGGGCCTTTTGTTTAATGTTTGTCATCAAAATCATTTTCATTGTATCTCAATTTTGCACGTGAAATTTCTGTGCAGGCAACAGGAATTGATGGGATCGGAGGCCTTCTGAGTTCTTGTGGTCTTTTATAACTGCCTATAACAGCTTTTCTCAAAATCTGGTCCTCAGGCCGTCAGCATCAGAAGCCCCTTAGCCTGCTGAGAATGCCGGCTGCAGGGCCCAAACCAGAGTCTCTTGAAGGAGACAGCCTGGTGTGGAGCCCGGATTCTGCCAGCATGAAAAAATGAGAACGTCTGGTCTATAGTGGATCCTCCATCAACTAACCTACTTTACTGAGGTTTTCATCTTCAGACAGATTGCCTTTAGGCTATTCCAGTGCAATACTTATGAACCCCTTTCAACTACAGAAATTCTCCCTAAATTTACATATAAATCCTCCTGTCGATTGGGTGGGAATTCTCCCCATAACATCTTACTTTTCGGAGAAAAGTGCTTTTTCTCCATGTGACCAAGGAGACTCGGTTTGATCCAGGAGCTCCTGCCACTGTCAGGAACAGGTTCTTTGGTTTGGGTCTGAATATGGGACTTATGGGCACGACTGAAGTGCCTCTTCTGAACTCTCAGTAAGCTGACTTGATTGCTTCTTTCCACCAAGCAGTTGGACTCACGCTTTTCATTTAGCTCCTTCAGGAAATGTCGTTTGTCGACTTTAGCTTTTACAGTTATTTCATTGGTTATTTCTATAGATGTCATTATGCTGACAAACTGATCATCGGGTACTTCTTGGTGTCCTGCAAATAAATGAAAAGAAAAATACCACCACTTGCCCACTTGATCCAGAAGCCACTACTGTTCACAACCAGGGATTAGCCAGTTCTCTGCTCCTGCAAAATACCACCACTGCTGTGCCCCCACCCCACACCTCACTCCATTTTTTTATTATTGTTTTCTAAAGTCTTTTTTAAAAAAATTTTTTTAATCCTCACCTGAGGACATTTTTCTATTTTTTTGTTCAGATAGAGTGGGAGGGAAAGGGAGAGTGAGAGAGAGAGAGAGAGAGAGAGAGAGAGAGAGAGAGAGAGAGAGAGAGAGAGAGAGAGAGAAAGAGAGAGAGAGAGAGAGAGAAAGAGAAAGAGAAACAGAGAGAGAGAGAAACATCGATGGGAAAGGGACACATTGAGTGGTTGCCACCTGCACGACCAACCAAAGCCAGGGACAAACCACAACTGAAGTACGTACCCTTAACAGGAACCGAACCCAGGTCTCTCTGGACCACAGGCTGGAGCTCTAACCGCTGAGCCGCACCGGCCGAGGCAGGAAGTTTAAGATATTTAAAGGAATGGACTGATTATTAGGTCTTTTCAACTTGGGTTAATTTCAGAAAAACTAAGGGTGATCATTCTTTTTTTTTTATCCTGACCCGAGGACATTTTTGCACTTATCTTCAGATAGAGTGGGAGGGAGAGAGGGAGGAAGAGAGAGGGAGAAACATCGACATGAGAGAGACACATCAACTGGTCGCCACCCACACGACCCCAACCGGGGCCTGGGACGTACTGCAACCAAGGTACATGCCCTTAGTGGGAACCGAACCCAGGACTCTCTGGTTCATGGGCCTATGCTCTAACCACTGAACAAAACTGGCCAGGACAGGTGATCATTCTTTATACAAAACTAACTCAATTTATAAATAGAATAAATAGATTTCAACTATCATGTTGAAATCAAAGGTTGGCAGAAAGGTTTTTAGTGTTTTAATTTTAGAATAGTGTAAACAATATCTCATTAACATTTTATATAGATGAACAGAACTTCCATTTAAATGACTGCAGTGGACTAGATCAGCCTGTATGTCACAAGAATTTTTAAAACATGCAGTACCTGGCTATTTAGTCGGGGGCACTTCCCTCTCTTCCCTTAGATTGTCAAATTAAAAAATGGCAATAGCCAACACAATAGCCGTCTGGTGTGAATGAATCAAAATTATACTATTTTTTGGTCAGGTTGGCAAAAAATATATTTTTAGATGTGCCGCAGAATTTTAGTAATTAGTTTATATGTGCCATGAGATGAAAAAGGTTGAAAATTGCTGGACTAGATGATTCAGACAAACCTCCCAGTGAAAACTGCTAATAATTCTGGAGACAACTATTTTTAAAAATTGCTTAGTAACGAAATGACAAGAGAGTAAACAAAGAGACCCAAAATGAAGAGAAAGCAAGGACCCAGACAGGGAGACAGAACCTGTGCTTGCCCTGAGGATAGTTTCTGATCCCAAAGGGTTAGAGAATTCCTTTTGGTGGCCTTGAGGACAAGGAACACAAAATCAGAGCCCCAAACCTGTGCACAGTGGAGAGTTTAAGGAAGAGTGTTCCCATATTAAGTTGGGACCCCAAGGTTCGCCCCTCAGGATAAGAGTTCTGAACCAGATATACACTCGCACTTCATCACCAACTTGCAAGATGAGTGTTGTCTTAGCACTATGCACAGACCTGGGGAAAATTCACTTCCATCCCTCCGTAAGAAGTATAAGCACTAGCTAACTTTTGCGTGCATTTTCAGCCCAGATTCACAACCATGCTGGTTAGAAGAAATGCCAAGCAGGGAAACAAGTGTGGTCACAAGAAATGTGACGCATAGGCCCTGGCTGGGTAGCTTCCATGCTGGGAATAAATCCGAGTGCGTGACAGAAGCGAACTCAGGTTTTCCTGGAAGAACTTCATCCTAGGCCTCTAGGAATCCCCACCAATACTTTCAAAGATGACAAATAACACAGTCAAGGGTAACCAATCAAGCACACAAGTAAATGAGGCATCGTGAAGTGAGAACAGAAGAAACAAACCTGTGAAATCTACGTACACGAGAAGCATCAAATTATAAAACAATTATGCCCACTACATGTAAAGAAATAAGAAAACACGTTTTCAACTATCTTCAGGAAACAAAAAACCAAAAAGGACTTCTAGGTATGAAAAACTGGTTTTAAATAAATGAAAATCTCAGTGTCTCGGTTTAGCAGCAGACATGGATTCGATGAAGAGAGAATTAGAGAGCTGAAGGATAGGTTATCCTGACTGAGGCACAGAGGGACAAAAACAACGAAAAGTTAAATGTGTGGAAGGCACAGTGGAAGGCCACGCCTGTGTGGGATGGGGCGCCCAGAGGACAGGAATACGGCAGAGGCAAGATTTAGAAACATATTTGAGAAACTTCCAGAACTGATGAGTGATATCAGTACATAGACTCAAGAAGCTCAAATAACAACAGTCAGTTTGCTTTAAAAATGCACACTTAGATTACAGTGAAATTTGAAGAAAATCTTAAAAGCAATCAGGGAGTAAAAGAGGGGCAGTTGGACTAACAGCTGACTCCTCAATAAGCAACTACAGAAGCTGTAGGACAGAAAAATTATATTTTCAGTGTACTAAAGAAGTTAGCTGGGTGGTAAGTCAGCACGTAAAAAGATGCTCAGCACCCTCAATCGTGAGGGAAATGTAAATCAGTACTATAACGAGACACCACCACATACCACTAGAACGGCTGAAATTAAAAAGATTGAGTGAATCGAGTATTCGTGAAGATGTGGAGAAACTGGAACTCTCATCCACTGCTACTGAGAATGTCAAGTGTACAACCACTTTAGAAAATGATTTGGCAGCTTCTCAAAAAGTTTCAACCTATAGCTACCATCTCTGGTCCACTCCTAGGTATTTATTTACCCAACAGAAGTGAAATTCTCCAAATAAGTGCAAGAAATTATTTGTACATACAAAAACTCGTACATGAATGTTCACCACAGCTTTATTTATATGAGCCACAAAAAGTTCTCCCAACCCAAATGTCCATCAACAGCTGAATGGATAAAAAAAAAAATGGTATATCCACACCTCGGGCACTACTGAGTTATAAAAAAGGAATGTACTGTTGATATACACAACATCATGGACAAATCTCAAAATAGTTATTGCTGAGTGAAAAAAAGCCAGACAAAAAAAGAATATATACTGTACTATTCCATTTATATAAAATTCTAGGAAATGTGATACTCTACAGGGACAGCAGGCAGATCAGTGGTTGCCTGGAAATAGGGAGTGCGGGGGACAGGGCAGCAGGCAGGGGCTGTAAAGGGACCCGAGTAAACTTTGGGGAGGCAGGTAATGAATATGTTCATTATCTTGATTGTGGTCATGGTTTCATGGGTGTATGCATATGTCAAAGCTTATCAAATTCTATGCTTTAAACATATGCGTGTATTGTATATAACTAAATATCAATAAAGCTGTCAAATAAAAATTGGGATCACCTCCTAGCACATTGCCTACTGCATATCAGCTTGTTGAATACATGAAGAGTATATTACTTAATGAGTCTTGATTTTTTTTTTTTTTTTACCAAATATTAATTATATCATGAGAATTTTTCATGTCATTATGTTACCAGCACAATAACCCGGTTGTTATTTAACGGGAAAGGAATAAAGGGAAGACAGACAATATAGACATGCCATTTGTACAGTTTCACCAGGAAGCTTGCAATTAACACTCTAGGTCTATTCCCCAAGTGGGAGAAGGGGCTGGACAACAGCAGTTCAGATATACGCTCACTGAGGCCTGAGTGACGTGGGAGGTGCCTACCCGTCCGTCACACTTGGGAGCGAGTCAGTGGCCAAAATAGGTGTGGCCACTACAAAGTCAAGAAAACGGAATATTTAATCTCCTACACAAAGGAGGCTTCTCTCTCACCACTAGAGCCGGACTCGCAGCTTGTAGGGCTCCAGTGCGTTGCACCCACCATGGGGCCCGAGGCCATGTGGGACCCACACAATGGATTAGTGGACTGAATTTGGACCAGTCCTAATCTGGACACAGCTCACCATGGAATGGACACTGGACTTTGGCTTTATTTCTGGCCTTGCTAAACCCATGGCTGCCCCTCTTCCAGGACTGGCCTGAGGGACACGGGACTCTACAACCCCAGAAGTGTAATTCTGCACCAATAAAAACCATCCATTCTCCTGGGCAAGTCTTAGAAAATTCGTTTTCTAAAGAAGTGGTAAGGCCCTCCTGCCCAGGAGTGTCGAAGGCATCTGCCTCCTTCTCCCTCTGGCAACAATTACACGTCAGTAGTAATTTAAAAGTGTAATATTTGATAACAGTGTAGTAATCTATCATATGAACTTACAATAATTTATTGGATTAGTTCCTATTATTGTTAGACTTTAAAAAAATATTTAAAAACTGTCTTATTGGTTTTAGAGAGAGGAAAGAAGAGGGAGAGAGAGAAACATCGATCAGCTGCCTCCTGCATGCCTTGCACTGGGGATCGAGCCCCAAACCTGGGCATGTACCCTGACCAGGAATCAAACCAGGGACCTCCTGATTCATGGGACAACACTCAACCAACTGAGCCACACCGAGTGGGCTAGGCATTTTGTTTTCTAATCCTCACCAGAGGATATGTGTTTGTTTTTGTTTGTTTGTTTTTCCACTGATGTAGAGGGAGACGAAGGAAGAAGGAGAGAGAGAAACATCAATGTTGATAGGTTGCCTTCCATACGCACCAAGGATTGAACTCACAACCCGGGTATGTGCCCTGATGGAATCAAACCAGAGACCCTTCAGTGCGTGGGACAATGCTCTCACCAACTGAGACACACTGTCAGGGCTATTGGAACGCAAAGAGTGGGCTGTGGGAACCTGGATCTATACAGAGCCAGTTGATCAGAAGCACATGTTGACTTTTATGTTGTCCAC